TTATGTTAATAAAAAAATATTATTAACAATTTTATTCCTTCAAATTAAAATATATCATAAAATATATTTTTCTATAATTATCATATTAACTTATGCCTTTTTTAGTAATTTGTACATGTAAAAAGTGCTTCTGGTAACAACTATTCAAACATTCTCACTTCTCATAATCACTTTTTCAAAAAATCTATTCTCCCTATAATCTATTCTCCAGAAACTATTCTTCAAACCATGGTTTGGTTATATCCAAACACCTCCAGAATCAGAAATAATTCCAGCCTAGCTATACTCGAAGTTAGACACTTCTTTGCTCAATTGGCTCCATGATTATTATTAAATTTAACTTTTGCAAAGAACCTTCTGATAGCTAATCTCACAGCAACTTGATTCATAGATTCCTTTTGCACCTTACCTTCCAAAAAGTGGCGGGACATGCATATAATAACTAAAAGCACAGTGAGCAACGTAGTCGATTTGTCATGCATATGCTGCTGGCTTTTCTTTCGGTGTTCCTGGACCTAAAACACAGACCATATATTTATCTATACAATAATACATCACGTACATATAGATATATATATATATATATATTCAAACGTAGGCTTAAAAGCTAGGGATTATTAATTAGCAACCAGCCAGCTTGATTTGTCGAATTCCAATAGGTAATCGCGATCGAATAAAATCCATGACGTCAAGTTGAAGTCGGCATAGCAAACTCTGATTGGATTAATCCCTCGGACGAAGACAAATAAATATGCATGAAATACTAAGTTCATGTCAGGGGCGATACGATTCGCAGACCAGAGGTTCAATTCTAGAACAGTGGTTTCAGAACTTTTTGACCTGATGAATCTTCCATTATCAAATGAACACGTTTGTTTTGTCTGGCATCTCCAACTTGTCTTGGCCCAATCAACTTTCACGGTCATCGGCACTTTTTATGGTCTTGATGTCCATGACCGATATAAACCATACCCACAATATTATTGCACCCTCTCCTCCAATGTCTGATTGGTTAAATTTGAAAATATAATGGTACTTGTGCACACACACACATCCATATATATATATATATGTATATCAATATAATAATACTTACATAGGTATCCCATTCTTGGTCATTGAATGACCAGTCTTTTCTTGATTTCCGGAGTTGTTTCATGAGCTATTACCTCTGGTCTTTAATATAAGAGCTCATTTGACTTTTATTTTCGTTTTAAATATAATACCTCAATTCACTTTGTCTCTCATATTTATCTATTTTTTTCTAAGATAATTATTACAATAATGGTAGTTCTAACCAATAAACTTTATTAGCAATGATATTTTAATTAGGAAAGACAATACCTATTTATTATAAATAACTAACTTAATTAATTTTTTTAATCTAATCAAATTAGTCAATTACTTCTTATATTAAAAACCGAGAGTAATATTGTATTAGATCAATCTTTCGTTTCCTAATTGGCGCAATATCTGGTGCTTAAGTTGGAGTTCAGTTCATATACTTCATAGATGAATTCTTTCTAATGCATGTTATTAGTTGGTATTTCGAATTTGAAGAATAGCTTCTGGATAATAGATTCCTAGGAGAATAGATTTTGTGAAAAAGTAATTCTGATAAAGTAAAAGTATTTGGATAGTTGTTATCAGAAGCACTTTTTATATATACAAGTTACTAAAAAAAATATAAGTTAATATGATAATTACATAAAATATAGATTTTATAATATATTTTAATTTGAAGGAATAAAATTGTTAATAATATTTTTTTTTACCAACATAATTAATAATACATAAGATAACTTAATTAATAAATAATTAATATGTGTATATGTATTTATAAGATATAAGATTAAATATATTTATAAAAAAATAATTAAGGGGTGTTAAAGTCATATTATTGTTGAGATCTACTCTGACAGGCACAATCATACGTTCCAATTTGAGTAAAAAGTAAAATGGATTCATTTCTTCTGAAACTATGGTTTTGACCCAAACCATGGTTCCGGATTATTTTTCCCTGTTTGGCTCACTCTTTCCCCAAACCATAATTTGGATGATACTCAAACACTCCTAGTTGGGTAACTTGATCGGATTAAGTTTCCCATATATACGTAATAAATCTACAGGTCGATCTTTCTTATTACCACCTCATTGACCACAGGTACCTTTCCAATAAACACCAAATTGTATTATTTTTCCCTCCTGAACTTTTTACCTATCAGTAGATCTACTGCAAAACCATACAAGAAAACGAAAGGGACCGAAAAGAATATGTCCCTAAGGCCTAAGTACGTTTTCATTGGATCTCATATAAGATATAAATAACTGGATATAAATTTATGATCCTTTTGAATCTCAAAAGCGAACCGGAATCAACTTTATATGGAAGAGATATGATCAAACTATTTATATTAAGCATATTTTATTGACGAATAGCAGAAAACACATAACAGGATTCCACCAACAAGCGGAACAGCAAATCAAAAGAGGAGGACCGTGAAAGAGAAGTTAACCGGTGATAAAGTATGATTATAATAGAGTCTTTTGAAAGACGGAGAGGATAGGAAAAATAGGCGTGGCTGGCCTGTCTTAAAGGTCCAACCACTCCTGCTTCATCTTCACAAATTTGTTCTCTTCTGATTGATGCATATTGAAAGCCGAGATATGTTTGACTGACGGAGAGATCACTAGCACAGTATTTTTCCCTAGTTATTGTTAAGAAAAAACATGCGGCTATATTGTTAACATTATTGTGTGTGTTAGATTTAGGATATAATAATGCCTATTAAAGTTTTATTTGCCCAGATATATACTCAATAAAAAAAAACACTGAGATCAAAGCCATGAAATGAGAAAGGTTAACGTCATAATTATATGTTGTAACTCCAGCTCTCAATTTTTTTCACTCCAAGTTTAACCACCGGATGTCCATTCTTACAGTTAAGCTTATTAAATCGCTGACACACACACACACACATATAAATACAGCGGCAGCGGATTCAGGCAATGCCATGTTGAAAAACATGAGAAGAACAACACACAATATAATGCCTCAACACGGACTAGACCTTTCGTTCCAACCAAAAAAACAGACTAGACCCGTGGCACTGTGAAATGGATCACCCACTGAATATATACAAATACAAGGAATGAGTCAAGTGTGTTGTCGGGGCGGCAAGAGAGGCTTGTTTGTTATCTTGTGAAACAGGTAATTAAAATCCGACAAAGCGTGTTCGCCGCAGAAACAACATTTATTATTTATGTCGCTTGTCTATATATGTGGCCTCAGACAACAATCGAATTGCTATCTTTTCCATTTATGCCTGGTATTCGGCCTACTTCAACACATTTAAGACCCACTTTCATGGCTTTGCCTGTGCTTGACTACGAAGCGCAAGTAAACAACATTAATCCCCATCCAATCACAAAGGAAAAAGAACCCGCGCTAAGCGAGATGAGTCCTCAAACAGATGGCCACGTTCCGCCAAAATTTAGGCACATCACATAACCCAGTTTACAAATAACGCACCCATCGAGGTGGCAGCAAACGAAAGTAGGAGTATATATCATTATATTACCCGGTAAAAATTGTAACTTCACCTGCAATATATAGACATGCTAAACTATTGACCACAAAAAATAATTAAGTTGTCCCACAAACTCATTTCTAAAGCTCAGAACCAACCTATCCAATCAAATTGAATTACTAAAAGTTGGGTGTCATTTATTATCAATTTGAAAAAAAATCAATATAAAACATAAATTTGATGGAAAGTGATACTATTAATAAGTTATATACAATGCGTTTTGTTTTAAAGTTTAATGGAACATTTTTTTTATTGATTTTATTTTTCTCCATTCATTTTGTTGGGTTTCTTTTTCTTTTTTTGCATGTTTATTGGGCTTCATACAATTTTATTTTTATCTCTTTAATACTTCTCCACTTAGTAAATTTAATAAGATTTCAATAGTAGAAAGATAATTTTTTTTTAAAAAAATTTTCGGCACTTTCATCATCATACATTGAAGAGAAAGATATATACTCATCTGATTCTATTTATAAGTTACTTCCAATATATCTTATACAAACCAAGAAAAATCTTAAACTTCATTAACTCTCATTTAAAATTTAACAACTTTCTAACTTTAACCCCATTTAATATACATTATAGTACTTTATGTAAACAAAGTCAATACAATAATAAATGGAGGGTAAAATTGTATATTTATATAAAAAATTTCTTTCAGTGCTCTATAAATAGGATCAAAAAATATGTTCTCTCTCTGTCTTATAAATAGAATTAAAGGAGTATCTTGAATTTAAATGAACAGCTCCATAGCTCCAAGCCTCCAACTATTTTCGTATTGGCAAAAAAAAAAAAAAACTATTTTCGCAACTCCAACCCCGAAAAGGAAAGGCATAGAAGCATGGGGCTGGGAGGAGATAAGTTTGCTTTGAGCCCGCGAGCAACCAAGCTTGAACGCCTTGCCCTCCTCATTTCTCTGGTGTACTTCTTTTTCCTTAAATGCCGCGCCCGCCTCATTTCCCTAATGTACTTCTTTTAACTTTGGTTGGGGGAATGATATTTAGAGGGTGTTTGGATATCCTAAAAAGTACTTCTCAGAGGCACTTTTTTATAAATTGAAATAAATTTCTCCACATATTTACCTCGTAGACTGTAAAATCACTTCTGAAACCATGTTTTGGTTTTCATCCAAACACCCCCTTAAATGTCAAAATATTAAAATAACAACCAGCTCTCCTAATAATTGCAAATTAGGAGTTGCATTTGAATTTTGATATTTAACGGAATTATTTGCCATCTAATTTTTAAAAATTTTGTCAAAAATCTATCATCATTAGGATCTTTTGGAACTCAACTGTCACTCTCCTTTGTTTTTAATTTTTATCTCTCATGTAAAATCCTTACAGATATTGGCGATATAGGTCCCGTAGCCTAACTCCTGGTGCAACATTGCTCTGACCACCATATTTATGGACCGAAGAATTTTGCTTCCTCAATACGTAGTGGTTTATCTAATGCAATAATCTCAGGTAGAATTTATTTTATTTATTAAACAAATGATGTGCAGATAAGCTTTAAAATGAAAATGAAATGGGAAAAAAAGAATCGCATCACTAGCTACTGGAAGGCATTTTTATTCGGTTGGTTAGAGGAAGATCACTGGGAAGTATAACCGCCAACAAGCAGTCATTCAGCAGGCAGCAGGTAGAAAGAATTGAAGGAAAATGTCAGTCAGAAAGATGATCGGAGGCGATTTGGCCAAAAATATCAGGGCAGGAGTCCCAGCTTCCTCGCTCTCTGGCCTCCCAATACCCTCCCACGTAGCGGTATGAACCACTTGCTTTATCTATGGCGAACCACCGCGGTTTCCATCCCCTTTCTTGCATCTTTCGTGCCTACAATAAACCATTCAAACAATAGCAGATCAATCACAGCCAGAACGAATCAATTTATTTCGCGAATGAATGCGTGGCAAGAACTTCATTTGGATGAGTTATTTCCTTTTCTGATACACGTACTGTTAGTTGAATTTGTAAACGCAGGTCCTATACATCCTCATAATCACTCAAGTTGATAAGCCACCACAATTGTTTGGCTCAGATCATGAAAAGAGTGCAATGCCACAAGAAAGACGATGTCATATGGTAGACAAAAAATTAGAAGGTAAGTCGTCCCTCCCTCACCCTTCAACACGGAATGACATAAAACTCCCCGTTGGACCCAAGGGGACGGGAGGGGACTCCCCTCTGCAGAGTGATAACCTACTAGTAAAACAAATAAACAATGACATAAAGAACAGCGTAAAATGCCATGGGTACCTGGCGTTGACACTGTTCTAGTCGTAACTTCTCCGAATTTGCCATCTCATACGACCCGTTTTCCAAATACCTCTGGTCTGGTCTTAACCTGGAATCTGTAGGCGGCAGCTTCTCCTGTGTATTTGGGTAAACTTGAGCGTCAATTACAAGCAAATTTTAAACACAAGAAATAATATACAACATTGCACAGAACTTTTTTCCTCTTTATTAATTTCAAGATCTACTGTTTCATATATGATGAAGATCCATACTATATACTTGCTATCAAAACACTTAAAACTGTCCTGCTAATAGCCTAAATTTATTCCACTTCCAGCATGCATTTATGGCACAACAACTCGGCAAAAGCTGCACTAGTACCTTTCTTGCCCAATATAGTTAAAGAAAAAGATAAATGAACAGATTGGCAACATTAATCATAATTATTCAAAGCAGACCTTCAATCCAGGGGTAAGTTCGTTTAATGTGATGGCAAAGCGAGTAAAGTTATATCTAGTTGGAAATTTGGAAGGCTTGCTTCGTCTCCATAGGAGGTGGGCTTCTGATGAAGAGTCATAACCTTTCCCCTTCCCAATGCAATCTCCATCGACGTAATACATGCTCTCATCCCACTTTCCAAATAAAGTCGCCACTGTCTTCCCTTTCCCGTCTTGAACAGTACCCTGCACCTGGTGAGGATTTCGATCAATTATAGATTGTTCCTTGAATTTCAGTTTGCATGAGTATTCTTGGTTTCCCTGTATACGCATTGTCCCATAGTGATCACAGTACAGCTTTCCCAATATGAGATTGTATATTGATGTGGTAACCTGACAGCGCAAGTTCATTTCAAATTAGAACTTAACCAGGACATAGCAATTGAAGTAGCTCAGACATACCTTACTCCACTGAAAAACTTCTCCATCATCAAATTCCAAAGTCAAGATCCCAACTGGGTCAAGCTGAATTGATCGGCCCCAAAATTTGCTTTTTAAGTTGCTATCACCCCAAAATTTCCATCCTGTACCCTCACAGTGGCATGCAACTATCATGGGATGGTGACTGACCTGCGAGGAAGCACAAATATTAATAATTTCAATCATGGGCTTGTTTAAAGGCAGGACCCCATATCTCTATGCAACAAAAATTGAAAGCCTCTTATGCCAATTAGATCTTTTGAAACCTACGCAATTAATCATAACCTCCTTCATTCAACTAAACCAGACTGCAGAGCAGTTTTTTCTCCCTTAAGCTATATTCCGTCATATGCAGAGCGCATTATTCCTTAAACTGTTTTGGAGAAAAAGGAGAGAGAAGAGTAAAAGAAGGAAGAAAACAGCTTGAGTTTTTTATTTTTAAGGGAAAAATACTCTAGCAGTTCTAATTCTAGAACATTATCCTTGTCAAACAATACAAGTATATACTACCATATTGACAAGTCATATAAAAATCTAATACTTGGATCAAAGCAATATTTCATGTGGTCTCTGAACATATGGCTTGCTTTCCAAAAGAGTTGACAGAAAGCAAAATCACACGGAATTTCGTCATTCTTCACTTGCATTATGTTACTTCTTAAGTATCAAATAGAAAATGATAAGGGCAAAAAAAATGAACTACTCAAGAGAAAGATAATACTCCTCTGATCCTAAATATAGGACCCATTTTATAGTGTAAATTATATTACAAAATGGGTCATATATTTAGGATCGGAGGGAGTATTACATTAAAGGCATAATTCTATAGTTAGTTCAGACCTTCTCTGAGAAAAATCGGAGGCCTTTATCCGGATAATCAGCTTCATATGTTTCACCTAATAATGGATTAAATGGTTTGCAAATCCTCCCTTCAGTTGAAGCATAGCCAGAAACGGCAAAGGCAGCTACATATAGAATCCTCATAAGGCTATTTCCCTGCATGAAATCTTGCATAAATTAAATGCAGGAACAAGCAAATCAATAAATAATTGAAGGAACTACCAACAAAGCCCTGAAAACATTGCAACATTTTTCTCATACCAAATGCAGCTATTACCAGTTTTATACTTTTTCCCTGATCAGCTTTTGACTTTTCACCATAAAGAACGGTGAAAGCTTTAAGCTGACAGAGAAATGGCAGATATGAAAGCGTATATTGCTCGCAACGGTGGAACTTCTAGCAGAAGTAAAGAAAAATATCATGTTGTTCTCCAAACTTACCCGTCTTCCCCATTCATATGCACAATCCAGAAGATATGAATACTCCATTTCTTCAAAACATTTTTGCAGAGACGATATAGGCTCATTAAAGTAGACAGGCAGACATACTTTTGTTAAATCCTTGCCGATATTATCCTTAATCATCGACCAAAGACTGACACCTTTCTCTTTTTCAATAGGATCGGGCAACTTCTTACGTCGCTTAACATAAGGATAATTGGATGCAAGAGATCTAATCAAAGGATCTAACTCATCCTCTGATTCAACTGCGTATAGCCCGTCATCTCCTGAAGAAAAAGATGATACCCTAAAATCAGACCCATTACTTTTAAAGGAGCTGGATGATAGAAAGTCGCGGGTGTCAAAAAAAGCATGGTCATCATCATCTGTTTCTTCTTCTGCAGCATCATTTCTATCATTATCATCCTCAGATTCACTTGCACTTCCTTCTGCATTAAAAAATCAGAGAATGAGAAAAAAGAAGGAAAAGCAAAAGGTGCTGTTATATTTATATTCGAAGGATCATGAGCAAAAAGGTTAAGGAAATTAATTTTATCGAGATATATCACAAGGTAACATCAGCAAAAGCTACTGCTAACTTTATGGAGATATCTTCTGCACAAAAAAAGAAATGGAAAGAGATGGCAGATTCAAATAAACAATACAGAAAAATGATAATAGAATTTTTCAGTACATCAGAGACAAGCAAAACGCACTACCTAACAAAGAAAACGTCCAGATTAATCTTGCAGAAATGTCTAAAGTTTTGACCATTCGCAACTAGGGAAAAAGAAAAGTACATAATTGAACTAAACAGTGTGAAGCAAATACATCTAGTAATGGGCATTCGCAGGCAACATACGGAAGAAATTCCAGCTAATCAACAGGTGATACCCATAAAAAACATACCACTGAACTTTTCCTGCCTTAGTCTAGAGGACTCCTCTTGATCATTCCACTGTCTTTGGCTCTCATCAACGACTGTATCCTCCAAATCAACCTTTTCTGTCTACAAAAATGGAGTATAAATAGAAGTTCCTTACCACAAACGGGAAATAGAAATTAAATTTAAAGCCTCTCATTACAACTGTCAGGGTTGGGGGAGTTAGAAATACGGGGTTTGACAGATCTTTCTCCTTCTTTATTTTTCTTTCTTTCTTATTGCCGCAAGAAGATTAGATAGATCTACCTGAAGAGATGGAGAATTAAAAAGAAACCATCCCTCTCTTCACCAATCTTTACCATGACAAAATATAAGATAACTCCAAGTTTCCAGAGTTTATCAGGACAAGGAAAATTACATATTGCACATTGAAAAGAATATTTACAAAACAAGAATTCAGTAAGAATATTAAATATATTATCCAAAACCTGAATAATTATTTTCCTAATCATGATCCTTTATCAGCTTAAAAAGGATAGTAAGAATACTCAATCAGATATAGTACTTTAGCATCATTCTGTCCACGCTTTTAATTGACATAATATGCAGCAAGTCAGATGGCAGTTCTTATTCATCCTACACGAACTTCTTAGCAGATCATTCCAATATAAGTTTGAGTTATAATTTCTGAAAGTTTGAAAGGACTCAGCTATAGCTGCTAGGTTCAGGTCAGGAGTGATCAAAAGAACCAGTATGAGGCAGGAAATTGGCAGAACACTGACTATTTATTTGGTTACAAATACAGATGCTAACCAAATGAATGAATTTTATAAAGAAGCCATAAAAATTATGACTTTAGTTGTAGGGATACAAATGAATGACCGAAATGAACGGGAGAAATTACAAATCTACAAGCTAATACACAATTGATAATCAGAATTTTCCACCTCTTTCTAAAACTAAGAAGGAGAGTTGGTGAACCCTCCGTTTTACTGATAAACAGAGAATATTAAGCATGACCACAATCCTGCATAGTAGTAGAGATCGAACAAGAACACCCAATTTGATTGGCACGATATTTTGCAGTTTTCGTTACCTCCAATTGTCGCATTGTATCAATAAGAGCCCATTGCTTCTGCTTAAGCAACACAAGCTGGGTTTGCAGTGCTGCAAACTCGTTTCTCATAATCTGCTCGCTATCCTGAATGGCTGCGTCACTCACACCTTCTTCCAATAGTCTCTGTCTAAGTTTCTCAGTTGAAATGGTTACATTATCTAACGGAGCCATCAGCTCGCTATTGGACATCCGGGGGAACATATCTTTTACTGCCTGCAGGGCCTCCATCCATCCCACTCGATCTTCACGAGTCTCCGCCCTCAAGTGAAGCCTCTTTGTTCCAGTAAAAATAGAAAAGCGCTTGTCATCGGATTTGCTTTCACGAATAGTTGAAACCTACAAAAGAAGCTGTCATCCAGTATAAACCACAAACAGAGATAATGTGAAAAATATGATTTCTGACGCAATCCGACATAAAAAATCCCCATTCCCAAAACCATACGAAGTTACGCGTCAAAGAACCTTAGTATTAAAGTCCAGTGATAAATAAATCCTGTAACAACTTCGGAGGACAATCCTAAAATCCGGCACGATGCTCACCCAGTATTCTGGGTTCCTGATCGATTGCCCGACATTGACTATCTGATTATGAGTAATGAGCAATCAGTTTCATAACTAACATTATTTTTGCAGCCGGCAATCCAATTATTGGTATTGGATTGGAAAAGAAAAATAGAAAGAGAAACTGACAGCAAATTACAACTGAAAGGAAAAAAATAGAACTGCGAATCCAAAGCAAGCAAAATTAAACCGAAAAAAATAAGAATATAAGTGGAATATTAGAAACGATAAGGAACCTTGAGATGGATTTCTCCAAAGGGCTTGCGTCGACGGTTGAAGTGCTGATGATACGAAGAGGAATTCTGGTTGCGGGAGATCCTTCGCATGGATTCTTCGCCAATAACCTTGGACCACTTCTCAGTTTCATGATTGACTATGATCTTATCAGGCCCGTGAATCTTATAGTACGAGAGAACACCGTCCTGAAGCACGAACCATCGAGGCCTCCAACCTTTGCCGTAATTAACCCACTTGTAAAGTACACCAGAGATTCCGTTCCCAACCAAGTCGTTAATCTTCACGTCCACCACAGGCTGTTGCTGCTCCCGCTGACTCAGTCGTCCATAGTCACTGTTGCTGTAATTACTATGACCGTGGTTGGTTGGACGGGAAATAGAATCGGATCTAATGGCAGGGAGCGGAGGAGGCATAATGATATCGGGCTATACTAGTCGAACTTGACGAAGGCGCGGAAGGAAGGATGCATACGGAACCAGTGGGAGAGGAGATTAACAAGTAGGGAAGCAGTTGAATTGGACGCGAGCGAACTAACGATGGCGAAGATTAGAATGTTCACGTTAATGGAGACTAGAAACCAATAGAAAGGGAGTGTAAGAGAAGTCGCGCGAATCGATGGAAGGGAAAAAAAAAAACAAATCGGCTGTTACATCTTAGAAGTAGTAAAAAAACAGAGAGATGTATTATATGTAATTATGGGACATAAAATGAGAGAAAAGGAAATAAATCTCAGCGAGAGAAGAAAACAGGAATAAAATTGTTGTGTTCCGACGAGATTAGGTGGCAGGGAAGACGGAAACAAACAGAAACACGGCAGTGATTCAATCTTGGTGGGGGCAAAAAGTGTTAAATATGAAGCGGTTGGTTCACAATTAGGATGATTCTCTGATCTCTGAATCTCTCTTTTCTCTAAACTAGCGTTCGTGATTGTCTGCGGGGGGTCTGCGGGAAGTTAAGGAAGAGGGGAGCCGCAGGAGGACACGTGGAGGGAGTAGAGGAGTTTATTCATCATTGGGAGCATGAGGGTGATTAATTTTCAAATTTACAGAGGCTGCTGCTAATAATAAAGAATAAATTATCTTAAATACTTGCCATTTATCTTAACCTCAGACGGTACAGTCATAATTGGTTTGAAGCTGATGACATTTTTAGACAGAATGGAAGATGGAAACCGAAAAACACAGAGGATGGTGGAATTAAATGCGAAGGGACTGAGAATGGAAACAAAAGGACAAGAGAATAAAGGAGCAGGGGAGCAAAGAAGGAGCTGTTCAGTTCCGTTCCGTGGTGACGCAGGCTTTGAGTAGTTGCGTTGAAGGTTTCGCCCTCATTCCCACGAAGGAGCCACCACGCAGTCCCGCACGTGCTGTGCGTTCTGGAATGCCCCGTGGAAAAACCTCGTTTCTTCCTCGCATTTCCCCCCTGTCCATGTGTCCCTTTCTTCTGGGTACTGTTTGGTAAAAAAAAAAGAAAAATTACAATTAAGTCCCATCTAAAGAAATTAAATACAAATTTTTTTTTTGAAATTATGAAATTATTATGAAATCTTAAGGGACCTTTTTATAATAAATTTTATTTGTTTAATTACCTTTTTTTAAGTTTACATTGACAACTGAAAAAGCAGTGGTTGACAATTCAGAGTGTAATGATTGACAACTATCACGGCTAGTTTGACAATTTATGCGTTACATTTTGTGATATGCTGAAAAAATATGTTGTCAAATCAGCCGCAATAGTTGTCAATTCTTACACCCTAAGTTGTCAACCACTGCTCTTTCAGTTGTTAATAGAAACTTTAAAAAAAAAAAGAAGGGTAATTTAGTAATTAAATAAATAAACTTTATTGCGAAAAGGTCCCTTGTGACTTCAGAATGATTTTATAATTTCAATAAACCTTTTTGTATTTAATTCCCCTAAATGGGACTTGGTTGTAATTTTTCCAAAAAAAATTGAGATGAAAGAGAGGAAAAAAAATTAACATGCTTCGTTTAAAAAACCAAAAAAATTATAATTTTTAAAATTTTAATTTAAAAAATAATATAAAAGCAATAACAATAATTAATTAAAAAGTTTAATCTCATTTCTTTTATTTTTTAAATCCAGCTCATTAAAATTTTTTCTTTCTTCTTTTTCCATCCATTTTCTTCATACTAAACAAATCCTTATCATTAGCCTCATAACATGTATGAATATTATCTCGTATGTAAGAGATGTTAAGGGTAAACCATTTTAATACCAAGTATTATGTGTGAAGAGTTTTATCTCAATTTACATAAAAATATTTCTTAAAAATATTTAAGTCTAACTAATAAAGAGTTGATCCTCTACTCGAATTCGAATTTTAGAGGAGATACCTCTATTAGAAGGAAAAGCCACAAATTTTGAATTAGATTACTCAGCTACTTGAATGCCTGGTAATAAGATTTAGAAAATACACCGGATATTAAATGACAGTATGAAAAAAGATCACAGAGAGGTGGTGAGTTTATTGTCACTTGTAAATTCATCTACTCTTCCCTATGTTATATTTAGTTCGTCACCAAATTTTGAAAATAGAATACCATGATAATAAAATTCTGCATGCTCAACTTTATCTTCATTATCAATTTAATTTTTAAAAATTAATCTTTATCAGGAGTGGAGTGAGTACCTCTTAATAGGGGCTGCTTAATTAGGGATTGGTCGGGACTCGAGAGAAAAAGTTGAACTTAAAAAAAAACAGAAAAAAATTATATTACTTGATTTGTTAAAAATTAAAATTGTAACTTATCGAACGATACTCAGTCAGGTTCTACTCTCCCGTGCTTTTCTATTTTAATTAAAAAACAATATATTTTTTGAAAGCAAATAATTACAATTTTCTCAAATAATATAAAATTAATCAAACAACTTTACATATAATGATTGATGTAAATACTAACTTCTTAATAAAAAGAAGCGTGAGCTGTGCACTGCCCAACAAAAAGAAAATCAAACCAAACTGACCTAGTTTTATGTGATTGTTGAATAGGGCAAGAGTTGAACCTCACATGGGATTTCTTGTGCCCCATTCTACGTGGATCTAAGCATAAGCTAGCGATGCTTTTGGTTACTAGATTTTAGTCATCTAGGGTGCAAACACTCTACCACTTCACCTATCAGCATAAAGCCTGTATTCAGTATTAAACTAGTCGAATCGGGGGGACTAGTGTTAACCAATGATAAACTGATTCAGATGATTATGTTACTATTTATCATATTTTTTCTTAATATTTCAATCACTTTATATTTGAATGAATTTCAATGATGATCTTGACATATACGATTATTAATTTTAGTTATCGAGGAATAATTATACCTTGTTATTATTATAATCAAATTATTGTCATATTTTTTTGGTATTTTGTTATTATTAGTGTTGTTATATTTTATTATTTTAATTAAATAATATTATTTTAATATAATTAGCTAGACTTGGAGTTGATTTTGATCCGATTAACTAACTTAATCACGGTGTTTAGCTACTTTTTTCCAAACCATGATTTTTAATCAAAAAGTGATTGTACAAAAATTATTGGATCCCCAGATTATGGTTTTACCTTTCAAATCATAGCTTTTGCTTATTACCAAACACCCCCTAAAACTGATTTATTGTACAGTCCAGTTTTGTTTGTTACGTGGCATTGCCAGTGCCACGATGATGATTTTGTGGGGTTCTTGGGGTGAGGACGCGAGCTGAGCTGTGGAGTCACTTTCAGTGGGTCTGAACAGTTTTTGTTTTTAAAAAATTTTTTTGAGGTCAACAATTGGTCTGAAGTCTGCACTCAGTTTGAGGGATTCCGATCGCATCAATATACGCGTCAGTGACTTAACGTGCACCCCGGTACACAGGATCACGGACAAACCGTTTCATCTCCGTATCAGTAATATTTACTTTAGCATTCACTTAAAACCAAAAAAAAAAAACTTTTGCAGCATTATTTTGACCAAGGATCCCGTCAATGTCTTCTTCCCCCACATGGATAACACGCGGAGGGTATCGGCCTTCTGGCTCTTGTCTTTCTCTCGTGAACATCATCAGCCAGAATTTCATGTGACATTTTATGAGTTTTTGAAGCATTTTTAACCCCCTAAATTTAAGATACATATAAAGTTCATCAATGCCGCTATTTTTTTTTTATAACCAGCATCAATGCCGCCATTAGTATCATCTTTCACCTATGAATACAACATGTCTTGTAAATAAGATTAATATAAACGATTTTTCACATAGCACAGTTTCTCAGGTACTACTTCCGATCTTAATTATAAGAGCTAGTTGATTAATTTGAAAAGATTAAGAAAAGAAGTTAAGTTAGCTGTTTGTAATAAATAGATGGTTTTTTTCCCCAAAATATCCTTACAATTAAGTGTGTTGGTTAGAATCATTATTGTTAAAAGGACTATCTTGAAAAGCAATATATAAATATGAGAGACAAAATGGATTGTGGTCTTATATTTAGGACCAAAATAAAAATCAAACGAGATCTTATATTAAGAATCGAAAGTATTATTTAATTAAGGCTCTGCACACCAATAACAATGACCAGGATAGGATATTAAATTTTTTTTTTTCGCTTTCTAAATAATTAAATGAATATTAACTATGCAGTTGATTAAGCACATATTACAAACATATATACTTCCGGAGCATTAAGCTTCCAAACTCAGCTAATTTAATTTCTTGTTTGCCCTGATTTTTTTTTTTTGGGGAAAAAATTAAATGTAGGATTACTTGAGGGAAAACCGAAGAGGTGCGACGTGGACCCATCTTTAACCATGAAAGCACACCACGTTGGTTTTAACTTTTCAAGAAAACACGCCACGTGGGTCATAACCTGAATCAAAATCTTAATACATGTCGTTCCCGCATGTTGGTCATTCCAAGTGCTGCTGCCTGTTGAAATCAGAATCCGGAACATCGTAAAAGGAAGAGTAGCAATATTTTCCCGGCAGATTAAACTTAACGATGACAGAAGAAGGAGCAGATGGAAGGTGGAGAAGAAGCCGCGAGGTGGTACACCCCGGGGGGGGGGGTTTTCCTGGTCCGTTTGCGCGTCTGTTACCGCGCCACACACAATCATCCAAACAGTAGTTCCATGTGACAAAAAGGTCCAAACAGTGAGAGTAGCACGGCACAGGAGTTGTCGGTCCTCCGTTAATTCCTTCACTTGAAGGGACCCACTCCTCCGTTCCTCATCAGTGACACGCTGGCTCACCGTCCTTTTAATCTTGACGCCAACGCTAAAGTGTAAAAATTTAAAAAAGTACTAGTGGACAAAACAGGCATGTTCACATCTAATGCGCCCAAAAGGATGGTAAAGTACATTTGTTCTGGCTCTCTAGCTCCTCCCTTGTGAACACACGCTTCTGGGTTCTGCCTATCACTTCACCTCAATAATTGAGCCAGTCATACGTGTGTTACCTCGCCAGGCTCCAGTTTCGAAGCCTAAAATTCCGTTGTGGATCATGTCAAAAATAGAAAGTGCATCGCCACTTAATAAGTGTTAAAAAGTCGAGGCATCCGAAATCCAAATGAGAGCACATTGGCCCACCAGGCCTGCTTCTTTCCACGGGATCATCCCAAGGGGATCTTTGACTAACCTTATCTTTAATTTTCAACGTTAAACGATTCGCGCGGATCTTTCTTCCCCCACAGTCTCTGTTTCGTGCCACATCCTTGTCTGGTACTGCCTTTGATGAGAAAGATGCAATCTCGGGTTTGCTTTATAGCTTTGTTTTGGTCATTCGCAGTCACTGCAGCATCTCAAAAGAAATGCGCTTTAACTTGAAAAGAACTTCAAGAGGGCGTGATTTTCATACGGACGTGCCAATGTATTTCTTGTCAAGACCTCACATCATGATTGCCCAACACACTCCCCAATCGCTATCAGAACCCAACACTTGTGAAGCATACGCACCATTTGACAATAACGCCGCAAACCCCTTCCCCCATCCTGGGTTTTTAATGTTTAACTCGCTAGAATTCTATACGACGAGATTAACATCTATCTTCATATGCCATGTAAAAACCTGGTAACAAATGATATGTGTGAATTTTCAGAAGTGGTTTATTTTCGCCACTTCATGCAACACACACAACTTGCGCTCAGAGCCAGAGAAGCGATATAAATTTATACAGTATGATAAGAGTTGTCGTACATTAATAGTTAGAATAAGAGGCTGCTTGATGCAATTTGTTGTCAGCTTATTAATTACTGAAAAAACAGAGACGTTCCTTCGGAAAAAAAATATATCCGCAAGAGTCCCAAGAAAATAGTTTAATATTTCTGGTTTTAAAATTACTCACATCTAACTATAATAAATGAAGTAAATAATTATGTATCCTTCTTCCGCAATGAATTATGCGATGCAGATGGCGCGCTTCACCTTGGCCATAAAAGACCCATCATGAGAAGAATGATTGTGAAATCCATCCCACACTTGAAAGAAAAGCACTTTAATTTGTTGCCGCACTAATAGTAATGAATAATGAATAAGTAATAGTATATGTTTATTTTCATTTCATTTTTCGAATTGTTGTGATTTCACGAGGATTTCCGTTGTAAAATCTTTTCCGCTTATAATCTGACATACTATGTTATTGTTTTAAATGATATTGAGTCTGCATCTACTGATTCAAATATAATAGTATCTTGTAATATTAATATAAGTATGAAAAGGGATGTTTTGCGTACATGAAAAAATAAAATTTGTTTAACTCGAAAGATTTTTTTTATTATTTTTCAAAAGAGAAAACCCGGCATATACTGGCATTCTTTTCATTTCTTTCATCATTTTAAATAAGGAAAATAGGAAAAGTAAGCTTTCACTTTAGGACAGGGAACGCAATCGCTATTCGCCGAGTCTGATGTAATTGGCCCAAGACAAAAAAAGAAAAGAAAACTACATGATCGATGAGGAACAGAGGGAGTTCAGCAAAATCATAGCTTATAAATGTAATAACCATCATTCAGACTAATGCAACCAAAGTTATTTTTTCGCACGAAAGCATATGCTTAACGTATAATTCGGAATATTCTGTTTATTGATGCACAGACTGAGGGCGAATTAAGAAATACCTTTCTGTTTTCATGCAGTCTGTCCAGAATCAGGGTAGAATTTTTCAAAAACGCCTTTTCGATGGTATTTTGTTCATCAGTTCTGTTGAAGGGCAGACATCAGTAACTCAACCTAACGACAAAGTGATGAAAAGCAAGACGGGGCTTGAGACGTGGTGAAAATGGGCCGATAGGTGATGAACAATTACAAGTCAGAGAGCATTGTCTCAGAGGGGTAGAGCAAAACTTCATTGATTGTCTTGTCATATCACCAAACACTCCTAACGCTGCATCTTATTACAAGGAAATGTGCCCCCTCCCAGAACCCCCCCCCCCCCAAAAAAAAAAAACAAAACACATACATAGGAAATGTGTCCCTTCCTTTGCTGCTTTTTGGAAATGACATACACCTCTCCTGACTCCTCCACCCCCGTTGCGTTACTTGTATTATTGGGTGCTATTCAAAGGCATTTCTCGTGGTTTAGGTTGCAAAACTCAGTTCACATACCATTCGCTAGGCCATCTAGTTTTGTTGGAATTCAGGAAGGACGTCTGTTTGTGACGTAGGATCCCAAGCAGCCCAAGAAAAGATTAGGCCTCATGAAAAATAGAAGCCTCAAATCTCCGGAGTGAGATCCTTCTTTTTAGTTTTGTCGAATCGAAAAGGGCCTGAGCTCGTTTTGATGATACTGTTTCTGGTGGGTTTTCCAATGTTGCAATGCTAGAAATACTGGGGCCTGGGCCCTTTTCTAATTTTCTTTTTCAGTAAAACGAAATGGCCAATTCATGGGACCCAAAAAAAAAAGAGAATATGAATCTCATCCGGGGGAAAAAAAAAATACATGAAGGCTGCAAGGACCGTCGATGATCAGAATTCACTATTGCAACTGTTTGGACTTTGGAGCAGCGCCTTGTAGAGCTGAACAAACGTGAATGCGAGAGACACCAGCAATGGAGGATTTGCAGAGTGCTCTAAAGGATCGTAATTTAACGGTTTCCACCGTGGCAGATAAGGGTCGCTGCCTCTTGGCTACGAGAGATTTTTACCCAGGTTTCTCTTTCTCTGTCTTTCTCTGACTACTTTAAAAGATCAACACCGAACTATGGACTATTATCTGGAAAACGATGTTATGGGTGGTGTGACTATTAACTGTGAAATTTTTTGTTAAAAAATGGAGCTTTGCGGTTGCAGGAGACGTGATTATAAGCCAAGAGCCTTATGTGTGTGCGCCAAATAATTCTTCAGCCGAAACAAGGTGTGATGGATGTTTCGCGACAAGTAAACTTAAAAAGTGCTCTGGTTGTCAAGTTGTATGGTATTGTGGAAGTACATGCCAGGTATGGTCTGGTTTGTAGCTGATTCCATTTTTATCGTTACAATCCACTCAGCTCAAGTGCTTGAACTTCACTTCAAGTTGCACAGTATAATTCCTGATGACCAATGATATGATTGTGGCCCCTTTAGCGGACTCAGTTTTGGGGCAATAATACTTTGGGTGGAGGTGTCGGCGTACTTGCCACCTTTTGGGCTGCTTCTTCTTCCTGTCTCCCCCCCCCCCCCAAAAAAAAAAAACTACTGAATTTTATATTCATATGGCATTGATTATAAAAATAGCTTTGGGTTTAATATATCTGCTCGTTGAGGATATTTTCTTTATGTTCATTAGAGGGCAGAGTGGAAGTTGCATCGTCTTGAATGTGAAGTTCTCTCAAGGCTGGAAAAGGACAAGAGAAAATTTGTCACACCATCCATTCGACTGATGGTAAAACTTTATCTTCGAAGGAAGTTGCAAAGTGAAAAGGTTAAAAAGAATTCCTTAGCTCTCTACCCTGGATTCAGTACAAGCTATTTAGACAGTTAAAGAATTGGTGTCGTATATGGAACTTTACGTAATTTACAATATAAAAAGAACTTCCAGTGTTGGTTTTATGTACGTGCACATCTTTTATTGTAATATTATGATTTACCGCATCGCACATCTTACCATATGGAGTAATTTGCAATAGGGATATCAAGATAATAGATAAAGAAGACGATATAGATAGTTTAAATTTCATCTATATTGACAATTGGTAAGTTGGTAGATTGTGCTTGCTTTCCTTGTTAATATTTCATTTTCTATCCTAATTTTAGTTGCATTTATGTCTGACATCATTAAGTTGCTACTGAGGATTTGTAATTCTCTTAATATTACACTTTGATACCTTAATAAATTTTTGATGTCTGGGACCATTTAAATTGACATTGAGCAGCCACTAGATGATATTATGAGCTGTTTTATTTCCAGGTTATCCCAAGCACTGCTACAGACAACTATAGCTTGGTGGAGGCATTAGTGGCACGTATCCTTTTGTCATATTTTGTCTTTATGTCTATTGTACTTAACACGGTTCTGTATATGTTTTCTCACATATCAATGATGATTGTTATTTTTGACACACACTTCCATCTAGACATGTCTGACATCAATGAGGGACAGCTGGTTCTGTACGCGCAGATGGCTAATCTTGTAAACTTAATATTACAGTGGCCTGAAATCAACATAAAAGAGATTGCGGAAAATTTTTCCAGGGTACCATGCTTTAACAATCAATATTATCTTATATAATTGTTGGAAGTTGCTCGCATTTGAAATCATGAGTGCTGAAATCCTGTGGACTGAGATTCTGATTATGTGTCCATTGGTGTGAAGTGCTTCTAGATTTCTATAGAGTTGCAGTGTGAATTTGTTAGTTTAGCTTTAAGAATTAGTTAACCCCTTCCACAAGCTATTTCTAATTTGTTTGATGTAGTCTTGATGAGTATTTAAGCAGGATGATGAACCCTCTCCCCAAAAACTAGCAATTGAGGTGGGAGGACCAGCCCACTTAAGCTTCTCATAAACCACCTCATAATATTCAGTGAGAGACTTAAACATCCCATACTGCTGTAATCTCCATCAAATCCCAATAGGTATAATAAATACTATTGTCCATTTTGAAACTTGAGGGTGCCTTATAGCATTAAATAATTAATTTCATTCCGGACCTCATAGGGTGGAAGGTTGTCCAAGAGTAGTAACCAACTCAGGTCCATATTCAAGGCAATTGCACTTGCAATTGCAATTTTTTGTGATTTCCACTTTCAATGTGGTTAAAGCCATGCTTTTCTGAATATGACTTTCTTCTGAGTCCTTCTAAAGTTAGATCCTCCTAATCCTGCAGTTTGCATGTAATGCGCATACCATTTGCGACAGTGAACTGAGACCCTTGGGGACAGGATTGTATCCTGTAATTTCCATAATCAACCACAGGTAGCACTTAATGTATTTAAGTATATGCTGTCATCTTGCTCCTCGTTAGTCTTCTAATTTTGGCTGTATCATCGTATAGTTGCTTGCCCAATTCAGTGTTGGTTTTTGAGGGAAGGTCAGCTGTAGTACGTGCTGTGCAACATATACCCAAAGGTTCGGAGGTAAGTATTTCTTCGAGTGAGTAAGAATAAGAAACTTCTGACATCCAGTTCACTGGGTTACAAAGCTAGCAATGACATTTGGAAGTTCTCATGTGGTGTGAGAAGACAGTTATGAGCTCTTCATTTCACATTAGCCACGTGGCTTGTTTGGGCTTTGCTTGGGTTAATAGAAGCATCTAATGCCTCCATAAACATTTTTATAATGGACTTAATGGGCAAAAGAAGCTACTTTGTAGGTACATCATTGAAAAGATTTTGAAAACGTCTCATGTCCTATAGGTCATTAGAGCATTCCGTTGAACTCTTCATTGTAAATTAAAATTACTTTTAGAGGATAGTAAATTATATTTTTCTTTTCCGCTTCAAGTTCACTACTTACCATAAGCTGCCTGTTGCAAGGTGCTGATAAGTTACATAGAGACTGCTGGGAGCACTATGACTCGGCAGAAGGCTCTCAAAGAGCAGTACCTGTTCACTTGCACCTGTCCCCGCTGTGCTAGAATGGTACTTGCCTGGTTTCTTATGTTGATATATCTTGCTGGCTGCATAGCATGATATATTTGAGTATAATGTTCATTATGCCATTGGCTAATTGGGCTAAGTTAGTTTTTAAGGGACAATCTGATGATATTCGAGAAAGCGCAATTTTGGAAGGATACAGATGCAAGAATGAAAAATGCTATGGTTTCTTGATGCGTACTAATGGTATGTGGTTTTATGGTACATCCCCACTTTTATAAACACGGTGAAGGTTGAGTTCAGTGATTAGATACCTGCCAGGTGTTATTGTATGACTACTATCAGTAGGTCTAATTTCTTTATCTGTCCATCTGAAGATGGAAGAGGATTCCAATGCCAAGAATGTGGACTAGTCAGGGACATGGAAGAGATAAAGTTGATTGCAACGGAAGTAAAATCACTAACTGAAGATAAAGCTTCTAAACTTGATCCAACTGGCAGTATCCTTTAATATTTCTGCTCATAACTTATAACTGCAATAGCTACGAACTGAACTGTTCTCCATTGCAATACAATCTTATCCCTTTTGGTGTGCGTTCGCTTGATAAACTTTATCCATAAGCTACAAAATTGATCCGAAGTTCATGGCCGCTGTCAAATCCTTGATTAATAGTAGATTATCAGGATGCTGTTGCTGCATACAAAATAATTGAGAAATTGCAATCAGAATTATGCCATCCCTTTTCAATCAGCTTGATGCAAACTCGAGAAAAGCTTTTGAAGGTTGGTTCCTCTTTCTGGCTTTCTTCATGTCATGTCATTTCTCCTTACTAATATATTTAACTTTATGATAGTGAACTGTCTTACTAATGTTCTACTTAGTCTGATGTCTTTGCATGTTTGTTTACAGCATTATAGATTTTTTTTTTTGGGGGACTTTTTAGGTACAAGTAAATGCGTTTTCTTGAGGTTGACTTTGAGTAAATGTCTTGCCAAATATGGGTAATTTTTGAAAGAATGCCTAGTAATCATCACGGGAAATTAGAGGATAATTGCGCATGGAATGTGTACAATTTGTCGAAGTAACCTTCTGCTTTAGATGCTTGCAGAAGAAGCCTTATAAATTTTACTGGCAAGGAGTTTCCTGACCTTTATATATCACCAGTTTGTATGGCTAACCTTATTTCTTCATTTTTCCCTCTTGATAGACCAAAACATCATTTATCAAGTAAAAACTAGACTTTTCTTTTTCTCTTGTATTTGCTTCAACATGGCGGACTTCTTCCTCTGTGCCACATGAATGATGTAGAAAATGATATTTCTCTGAGATTATTTTATATTTTATATTCTGAAGGTTACATAGAGGTAACATCATGCTGTCCTTTTCAGTTATTGATGGAGGTGGAACATTGGAGAGAAGCTCTGGCATACTGCAAATTGACCTTACCAGTCTATCAAAGTATGTCATACTGCAATATGAATTCTCAGAAAATGGCATGAATATTAAGCTTCCTCACCATTCATTGCATTGGTAAATTCAGTTATTGATTGGTTTGATGATCTGACTGTTGTAAGATTATGTTCAACTTGCTATTATCCGTGTTGCTTTAAGTCATACCAATTGGTTTGTCATAATACATTCAATGGGTGAGTATTCCATATTCCTCTAGTTGGACGAAACTAATTAAGGAGTTTTGGAGGGAAAGCCAATGTAAACTACTAGGAACCTACCCTTGGAATATTTTTTTTCCCCTCACGACGACAATTTGCTTAAAATAATTGACAAAATATTTGGACTCTTGGAGAACTATGAGGGCTGCAAAATGTCTAAAACCGACATGCAGGAATGAGAAATGCTATAATTTTACTTCAGCATTGCAGTCTTGGATTGGATATGGCCCTAGAAATATTGGTATAAATAGAAAGGAATTATAAGATATCTTCAAGTCATTTTCTGGGAGAGTTTTAGATCGTTCAAAACTACCTGGAATTGTACATCGGGTATATACTCGTGTTGAAGGTTCCAATAATACTAACTAGCAGTTTGCTAGATGGGAAAATGAATTGTTAAAAGCATAGGACAATGATATGCGAGTTCCTAAAGCATAGAAAACCAGAAATTCCTGATAACAAGTTCAGTTTGTCGATTCACTGTAGATCTAAAACCCCCTGCTCTTATTCAGTTTGAGCTGCAAAATCCACACATGCTGCTGATGTCTAGTCCTGGACTTTCTATTCTATTACAGGAGTTTATCCAGCAGTTCATCCATTGCTTGGTTTGCAATATTATACTTGTGGAAAGCTTGAATGGTAAGAATATTCCAATTACAGTCTTAGTGGATTTTAATCTTGAAATTCATTTTCTTCTTAGAGAGGCTTTTGCATGAACAATTAAAAAAAGAAAGAGAAAAAGGAAGACCATTCACTTGAAGATCATGTAGAAGTGTCTGCCATTTCTATATGCATAACATGTGATAGATCACATATTGACCTAAAACATCGAAGAAACTCATGATTGGTCTATAATTCTAGTAGTTGCTGGTCTCCAATGGATTTGAAATGATAGTGTTGATACAGGTATATGGGGGACACGGAGGGTGCTGTTAAATCGCTGACCAAGGCAGTGGATGTTCTAAGAATCACTCATGGGACAAATACACCTTTCATGAAGGAACTCTTGATGAAGTTGGAAGAAGCCCGTGCGGAAGCCTCTTACCAACAGTCCTCCAAAGACAAGTAGCAGAATATAATAATTATTTCTTTTTTCTTATTGTATTATTTACTTGTTATTGAATTTTTTTTAATGTTCAAGTACTTATATTTTCTTCATCTAAATAAAACATGCAAATTAGATGAGTCTGCGCTTGGTCCGTGCATTTGGAGTGTAAGAGGTTTCGAAGTGTGTCATCTGGGCCATGTCATCAAGGAGAGCAAGTTTCTCTCGGGTCTGTATTCACTTGCTTCTTTAAAGCCCTTTTCAGTATGTGCAACCTTACATTGAATTTTCTATTCTTTTGTTAAGGCTCAGATTCGGTCATAATATTTAACATATATCTTTTTATCTTTATTATTACATTGCTCAAAAAAATATTCATGAAATCCCATTTCCCTTTTCCTATTTTATAATCCCCTAAGCTTGTTACTCGAGGTAGGCCATATGGAATTAATCTAAAATCAATTTAACTCTAAATAAAAAAGAAACCTTTAAAAGTGGAAGATGAATTGGACCAATTTTGACGTCATAATATACCAATCTCGGACCTCGTTATATTTTTATTCCATTTCGTTAAGTGAGATATATTAAAACAAGCCTAGCATGAATAGTTGCCATTTTTTCCGTCAGGAGAATTTAAACCCTAAAATCTATGGACAGCCAACTTTACTCTTACCACTTGAACTTTACATTTATAAAGAATAAGAAGGAAGATGCTGCTGGTACAGTCTCACTTTACAAAATGCATACACTGTTCAATCGATTTGATTGCTGCACACATTAAAAACCACTAAATAATCAGCACCACATCAAACATGAAAGTAAAGAAAAATGCATACAATGCAATCCCGAGCAAGTGGGTAACTAACAAAATAAAAAACCTGAAGAGCCTTTTGATGAATCTATCTTGCTTCTCTATCTGAACTTTTTAGTCGCTCATGCAGCTGGAGACATAGTTCTGACAATTGGGACAATAGTTTACATTGATGATCTCGTGAGCTAAGAGAGTGAGGAGTTATTAATTTGAGTGGGTCGCCAACCACCTGCTGGAGCTCACAACAGAGCTTTGAAGCTTCTGGGTCATCTATACAGGTTTCAGCTATAAATTGTAGCAATTTAAAACTTTGGTCTTGGAACGGGGAAGGCTGTGGCGGGGTTGGTGGAACAAGAAACGGATGTTGGAGAAGCTGAGGGATTCTCCATCTTTCATTACGGTCCCATGCTAGACACCTCTTCATGAGATCCAGAAGCCATGGGTTTGAAACGGGCTCGTACGTAATTTCATGATTCGGATCTGTTATAACTTTGAATTTCGCCCAGAACGTCTTGTACTCAGAAAATGGCGTCCTGCCATATACCATTTGATAGAGGATGCAGCCCAGAGACCAGATATCCGATGGCCGGCCACACTTTATGATATTTCCATTTGCATCACTCTCATTGCACATAAATGCCTCTGGAGACATGTAACTCAGAGTGCCCACCTATAGTATTAAGATTTAACTGAATCACTCTCATCAATACCACTGAGTCGTAAATATAGCTTATGACTTATGCATCACTATTAACCATGCAGGAAAATTCTGGTTAAGCATTGCTGCACTTTCCAGAACACAATAAGATACCATTGGTCACCCAAGGATAAAAGACAGCAGTGGCATTCCTCCATAATGGCATAGTGTAAAGAGAAAAATCACAACTATAACATGATTTTAAGTAAATGAAATGGAGTGAAGTTTCTATAAGCGCTACCTGTGAATCCCGTTGGATATTTGTTGTATCGCTCATTATTGCTTTGGCTATGCCAAAATCAATCAGTTTTAGGGAACCTTTGACAAGAAGAAAGTTAGCTGGCTTCAGGTCAGAATGCACTATACGTTCCTCGTGTATTGTATTGACAGCCTGAAGTATTTGCTGCAAAAAGTATCAGCGAAACAGACTCAGCTGAAGTTGGTACAGAACCGGAACAATACTGGGCTATCCAATCCAACAATATCAAGTCTAAGAGCATGCATACAAAATCTGAAGTTGATGTTCTGTTCCAATTCAGAAAAAGAAAGCAAGAGGAGGTAAGATACATCCATCATGATCATATAACCGCGAAAACAAGCACCAAGGATGTGATACTATTATTCAAGTGAAATATGGTGTGAAAAGATAATGGATTCAGCCGGTGGTGCCACAGAGACTAACAAAGCTGCTTATCCAATTTACTGTGGAACATAGTTAAGCATTTAGCAAATGTTATGGTCAACATGAAAATAGGCCCGCTATTACTTTTACATCTTTCTGAAAATTTTACATGCAAAATTCATATAATTAAATAGAGAAAGCAACCGCAGATTCAGATAAAGGGAAAATAATTTGTAATGTTGTAGATTTAACACCTGCCAATAAAATCGGAGCCAATTCTCATCTATGGTCTGGTTGTATCCATCCAGTTCCTTCCACTTCTGAGACAGCATATGAGCCAAATCAATTTCCCCATATTCAAGCACCATGTATATATATCCATCATCCTTGACTCGGCTGTCTTTACTAGTCAAGGAGCCTCTCAGGACTTCATCAAGCAAAGCCTTGTCAGTCACCTAAGTAAAAGCATTACGATACCACATAAGAGTTTGTAACATTCCTTAACAGAATAGGCAGCATGCGCATGTGCACACAACACGTTGAAAAAGAAAAGGGACGACACGGCTCATCAAAATATAATAGAGTGAAGTTAAAAAAATGAAACAAGGGACAAAGTAGATAGAGAACTAAGCAAATGTATGTTTAGAGGTTATAGCTTAAGGGACAGAAAAGTCAACAATAAAACCACACAGTGAGTTGTCTTGCAAGTAACAGTCCAACAGATATTTTCTGTGGTCACTTGGATGAAAATTTAGCAAGAACCAATTCATAGTGAAAGACAGATCAGCGGATGTTCAAACTCATGAAAATAGGAACCATAATTTGGTTGGGCAACTTAACAGGTCTGACCTCCCCCCCCGGGGGCCCTAACCCCATTCACTTTAGAATAAGGCTGTCCATATGATTGGCATTATAAAGTATTCAACTGCTGCTCCAAGCAATAATAAATTCACGTAAATCCGTGCAGCCTGAAACTGAATTCCATTCCTCCCAGTTGCAGCATGCAGCTTTGTAGAAACAAAGAATAGAGATGCAAAGCAAAAATATCATATAAAGAACAGCCTCTAAAAGAGTAGAGAAAATACCTCATAGTCAATCAGCTGTATGATATTATTCTTCCCCTTCAGCCTATTTAGATACTCAATCTCTTGACAGAATCCATATGCAGTGGCATAATCACGACCCTTCAGCTTGATCTTTTTAAGTGCATAGATTGTACAGTCTGATGATATTACTTTGTGCACTTCACTACTTCCTCCACTACCTATCTTGCCAAGCCTTTGATACAGCTTGCCATTTACCTTGAAAAACAAATCAGGATCATAGCCCCTTTTCCGAGTACCTGATGTGCTTTTACTACTTCCTGCCTTCTCTTGTTTTTCTGACTTAGATGAGTCCAACTTAACATCTGAAAATGAAGTTCTAGACGTTGGAGCCTGAGGCTGTATGTTGGTAACATCTGCAGATTCTTTCCTCTTAGATGGCTTATCATCACAAGTAGTTTTAGAAACGTTACTTTCTTTTAGCATGCCGCCTTGCTGCTCCTCACAAAGGTCACCATCCTTAGATGGTAACCCTGCATTAGCGGCAGAACTAGGGGCAACTGCTGCTTGTCCTGCTAACATTTTATTGGTCTCTTTTAGGTAAGTGCTAGATGATTTCACAACTCCTTGAGTTATCAGATGACTATTAACATTATTTTCCCTCAAAGGTTCTGCTGCCAAATGTGAACCGCTATCAACATGTGAATAAGAATAATGGGTTGTTGAATTCAGCATGGGAGCTGAAGATGAATGGACAGATGTTGTGGTAGCACATGAAGGTCCCACTACTGAAGATTGAGTAGCTGGCTGACTTAAAAAGTTTCTGAACTGCTGCAGATGATCCTGAATAGCTGTTGTTCTTTTCGCCAACTGGGAATTTAATCCTCCCTCAGATCTCAAAGTTAACTCAGACTCTGCCTGCAAAGCACTTTGGTGCTTTGGATCTTGATTGAATAAATTAGATTCTTCCGGCTGGGTGCTTGAAGCCCATTCCATTTCTGTCAATGCAAGTGAACCCATATGAGATGATAAGTTCTCCAACTCAGTGGCCTTTCCATCAACGGCCCCTGCATGTTGAAAGAAAAGAGAAGAAATATATTGCAGGGGCATAATGACACGCTTGGGGCATGCATAACACAGCAATTTTTTTTTTTTTGGGGGGGGGGGGGGAAGGTCTCACATTGCAAAGGAAAAACTTGTCAAAATAACTGATTTCACATGCTAGGTGTCAAAAATCTAATGTACTTCCACAGAAAATACATATACAACGAATTACCCTGGGCAGTAGTGTTGTTTCCTACTAAGAACTGGACTTTCTTCTGGCCATCTACATTTTGAGATTCCACTGGCAAAGAATGCATGGCAATCTTGTCTTTACAATTAGTCATTTCATTTAAATGACATTCTTGTGCATTGAATGAATTGCATACTTGGTCAAGTGCGTTGTTGCAACTGCCAGAAACAGAAGGTGGTGTGACTAATACGTCCTCCTGACCTTCTCTAATCATAGAAGTCGTGCTATTTCCATGTGCAGATGACTCCATCTCCGACTGAACCTTGCTTAAGGATATCTCCTGGGACTTCTTATTATCTAGATTTGCACCAACTTTTAGTGTAGAATTTCTTGACACCTCACGTTGAGGAACCATCATGCGCCTTGGTCTTATATTTGATTGCACTGTACCTGAGAAACTCTCAAAAGAAAGAATGAATGAATGCAACGAATAAAGATGCTCAAGCCTCATTTACTGAGGAATTAAACTGGTGCTTTATAAAGACAGGGGAAGGAAAGACTAATTAACACAAGCAACCAACAAATTAGACCGTCGTCCTGTAAATGGTGGTGTCTACAGTTATACCGATTTTATCAAAGACAAAACTATTTCAATTGCGATTTGTGATATTCTGACTTCAGAATCTACCCAAAGAAGCTCATTCATTGAAGTAAATTTTAGTGTTCTGCATTCCAAAATTCCCCTAGGGCAAACGCCAGACATTTCACATGTTGATAGAAAACGGAACGAGCTGTCGATTTACCGTCTAGATTGATAATCACTGACGAAAGCAACATTCCCCCTCCCCAACCTCCATCACCACCGCCCTCAACACCCCCCTCCAGAAAAAAGAAAAAAGAAAACGATGACAAAAGGCTGAAGAGTACGAACTGTTAAAGTTAAAACTCTAAATTATTAGCATCAAAGTCAGTAAGACTTCTGCTATGTTAAATAAAAGGCATATATTTTCAGATTCATTACACATCCTGGCTCACAAACAATGAGCCAGTACGATTAATAGATACAGTACCAAAGGGAGAGCAAGATAGTTACCGAGAGGACGATGACGCTTGAAGGCGGCCTGAACATGCCGAAGAAAGTCCGGCGGTGAGGATGAAGAGAGGGAGGATGAGGAAGACGATGTAGTATCGGGATTGATTGGACGGATCAGGTTCTTGGCAGTTGGAGGTGAGACCGGAAGGTTAGCCTTCCCATCCATGGAGTAATCTCCACGGCATTTCTAGCAGAGAAAAAGCCCCAGGATGGGAGTACAGAGAGCACCCACTTAGCTAGAAGACGTTCTATTGAGAAAATCCATTGATGATTTGAAGAATCCCATAACCGGGAAATCGTCGAGTGCCTGCTGCTGGGGTCGAAGGCGGTCAGACCCAGCTTTTGAAATGTCCCGTTTGGCGGTATGCCGAAGCTAGTGGGCTCACATGGGCTTCATGTCCAAGATTGCGCACTCAAAGTTCTTCATATGCCCACGGCCCATGAATTGAATTACCCTTCGTATGTGGCCCAGGAGGTAGGCCGGACCTGAACCAATTTGTGCGCAAGGAGTCATGGACTTTTTCCAAGTAAAAATACTTGTGAAAAATTACTACATTCGGTTTTAATTATAAGACCTCATTTATAAACTACAAATAATATTTTATAATTAGGACAAGAGATAGCATAATTTTTTATATTTAATTAATTTTAACTAATTTTCCTGATGCTTGCGAAGCATTTAATGGTATTTCCTTATGACAATTAGATAATAATAAGAGAAGAGAGTATTTTAAATGGAAAATGACAATAAAAAAAACCCTAAAATATATAAAATTTTGATTTAGGTCCTTTAAATCATATATTGCTTGCACTAGATGTAAAACTTAATGGGAATTAAGAAATATAGGTGAAAAATCATGCACAAACACGGATTATTTTTGGCGTATATTAAGAGACTTCATTCAATTGCTAGGAACACTGTTCCACATACCTCATGGGGAACTTTGTGCATATAAAATGAGATTTATAGATGACTTTAGCTAAGCTCATCATATAGAACAGAGAAATTTGATGTACAGGCGCAACATGAATTTGAAAGAAATGAATTCAATGCGATGTTGTAGGAAAATTATGCATGCAATGTGGAAGCCACAAAAGTTCAAGATGATATATCTGATGGCAACTCTATATGTGCTGACCCTAACTTTGCCATCAGCAGCTGCAGTGCATTGGACATTTGGGGACATACTCCTTACCCATTCCAACGCCCTATCTTTACTCCCAAGGACAGGATTCAGGGACACAGCTGTGATACTCATGCTCATTCACCAGGTCTATTTTTATCTACTAGAAATTTTTAAGTAACCTGCAATGTACTGACAGCGTCTAAGGCTATCTCTGTATTATTAGTGGAACTTCGCAGTTCATAACCTTTGGATTTGCTTGTACTCGTCTGTATTTTGTGTGGGAGAAGTTCATTGGAGTACACGAAACAAAGAGTGTGGTGAAGAGGGCAATGGCTAGACTTCCGGTTGTAATTCCAATATGGTTCCTGGCAATCATTTTTCCTTTCTTTGGCCCTATCAACTCAGTTGTTGGATCTCTCCTGGTCAGCTTCACCGTTTACATAATCCCTGCCTTAGCACACATGGTCACCTTTGCTTCAGCACCGGCTAGGGAGGTTAGCAATATGCAAATGCTCCTTTCATTCAATGTCTCGTCACTTTAGAAACAAGTTTTCACATATAATTAAAGATTGTACATGCTCTAATGATATGGTTTTGGTGTTGAAAGAATGCAGTAGAGAGGCCTCTGTCATATTTGGGAGGATGGATGGGTTTGTACGCCATGAACGTGTTTGTGGTGGTGTGGGTTTTGGTGGTGGGTTTTGGGTTGGGAGGATGGGCAAGCATGGTCAATTTCATACGCCAAGTCGGCACTTTCGACCTCTTTGCCAGGTGCTATCAATGTCCTCCTCACAGGCCTTGATTAATTATGTGATTCATTTCTACACATCACATGTTTGTTCAATATACATGTGTGTAAAGTGATATTGTCATCTGTAATTTTTCTTATCATGCCTTTATTATTATTGTTGTTGTTGTTCTATTTTTGTTGTTATAAGTCAAGGGCAGCTAGCTATTTCTCGTTGTAGTGGAAGTGTGAGGAAATCATAGAAACCCACATACAGGCTTCAACAGAGAGCTCTGTGCGTGTTAATTATTTGGTTCTTATTATGTATGAGATTACCAAAAGTTTTTACAGGCCTTTCTTTCCTCACTCTCTCAATATTTTAATCCTAAATCCTTACTGTTTATAATTTGTGGCCTGGCTAGTGACCTAAATGACATTTGTCTCATGCGATGTTCCTAGTGAAACACTATTGATATATCCAAATGGGTTGTTTTATACTTTCACATTGATTGTATTCGAGTGGAAGATACAGCTCTTTTGAAACTCAGGAGCATCAAAAAGGAAACCATCTCAAAATGACGTTACAAAATCTGTTGATAAAGCATAGGAGCACCGATATTTTTAACGCATGCGAAATAAAAATAATTAAAAGCCCTAATTTAATGTTTCTTCTCAAGGCCATCATAGCGGAGGACAAGCCTAATGATCAAAAGTATTGTTCCAAAATTATCCACCCTTTCCCCCCAAAACTCTCTGGAAAAAAAAGGCTTACAACTGACTACTTTCATGGATTTATTGGTAATTTAAGGATTATTTAATTGTGTTTTATTTACTTTAATGATGTCAATGAATCTAGAAAAAATTGCACGCAGGTCTTATAGAACATAATTAATTATGAAAAGTCCCTAAAAATCTCAAAATGCTTTCTAAGTCCCCCAGGGACTTCAGAGTAAAAAATTAAAATTGTGAAATTACATACTTGCCCTTACTGAATGACAACATGCACAGCTACAATCGCAACCTATATTTGAGCCATTTACAATATGCATAGAAGCCAATCACAACCCACATTTAACCGAATGACAATATGCACAGCATACAGTCACGACCTACATAGCAGCAAATCACAACTTTTTCCATCAATGAGGGCAACTAGGTAATTTTACAATTTTAATTTTTTGTTCTGAAGTCCCTGGGGACTTAGAAAGCATTTGGGAATTTTGAGAGACTTTTTCAGAATTAATTGTCTTTTGTGGGATCTGTATGTAATTTTTCCATGAATCTAGTCAAAATAAAAAAAAAAAAGTTAGGCGGGCCTGTGGCGAAGAATGGGCCCAACGTTTGGCGGGCCTGGCATCAGACCAAATCGTCCGGGGGATCGTGGCTAAAAAGTTACCTATGAACCTTAAAAAGCAACCGGTTTTAAGAACCAGCTCGCCCTCCGTGTGATGCTGGATTCAAACTTCTGTATCTGAATTTGGAGTCCACAAAGAGTAACAATTACCTGCCCATTTTTTTAAATATTTTTATTTATTCAGAACTAACACGACGAAAAAGGGGTCAGGATTGTGAAAGAAAAAAACTCCAAAGTAGAAATGGGAATAATTGAAAGTTGAGAGTGAAATGACTGAACGAAATCCATGGCAGATACGTTTGGTGGTGGGGTCGTGTTGGTTCCTAATGACCCTTTCCGAGAATTTGTATTGTGTTGGCTCATTCAAAACTGATCATTCAATCGGGCAATCTAGTTGTATTCACGTCCGAGAGTGGGGGGAGGGACCCTTGCTTTATTTGCCAGCAATTAAATAGTAGTAATATATATATGAGTGTTCGGTTTTTTAAAAAAAAATCATGTATATGCAGTCTTTTTAAAAAAAAAAAATTTGTTTTATAATATTAGTTGTTTTATGATATTGTTTTTCTCAATATTCCTCGTGTGATAGATTAATTTCGTCGTCTCCATAAAAACTCTTTGTAATTTTAATTTGATCTAAAATTTCAATTTAATTTCGCAAGTCGACATGATTTAAAAATAATAAATAACCATTAAGTGCCATAATTTTAAAAATCAAATTATTTTTTGTTCCATTACTTTTTAAAAGAAATACTATCTCCAATCTAAATTATAAGACCTTATTTATGGATTACAAATAAAATCTTATAATTAGAATAACAGATAATATATTTTTATTATGGTGATTAATAATTCATAGAAGTATCTAACCTGAAAAGGTCACTGAATCGGGAGGCCTAGCCCAACCAGCCCATGAATGCCCCTCAACACGTGTTTCATCAACTGCGTCATATAAAAGTATTGGGCCTAAAGAAAACTCTTCTTAGGCCGGAGGGAAGGCTAGATTTTTTAGGGAAAAAAAGGCGTCGCTATATTCTGTTTTTGGGCCTGAGGTTGCATTTTCGGAGATATCGAAACACAAAAAAGACAGATGGCCGTTTGCCGCTCATGCCTGGCAAGATCTAACGGCACTTCCAGCTAAGAAACGTCGCGCTATCTTGTCTTGATGTTTCAAAAATTTTTATGCATAAATTTTCAAGTTCCAAACATTTATCTGACGTTCGTCTCAGCAAGATTAACCAAAGAAGAGAACCGGTGAATCAGACAAGGTTTAAGATATACTACCTCCGATTCTAATTATAAGAGCCAGTTGACTAATTTGAGGAGATTAAAGAAATAGGTTGAGTTAGTTATTTGTCCTAAATAGATGTTGTTTTTCCTAAAATATCCTTACTAATCAAGTGTATTGACTAGAACTATCATTATTAGAAAGGTTATTTTGGGAAAAAATGTATAAATATGAGAGACAAAGTGAATTGGGCTCTTATATTTAGGATCAAAATAAAAGTCAAACAATGTCTTATATTAAGGATTAGAGGTAGTATTCTATTCAAAGGCAAAATTGAAACCATAATTATGAAGTTATTTCTCCTTCCCATCTCAGATTGAGAAATAATAAATTCTAAGGCAGTTCACCTCAGGACCCCGATTAGATCACTGAAATGAAGTATTTTTCCCAATTTTTAATATACAACTTAATTAATTAATTTGAATAGATCGAGTATCTTAATTAAATTAATTAATATGATGCTCTTTCGGTCCCAACTATAAGACTTATTTTGTGATTTGTGATGCAAAATGGATCTTATATTTAGAACTGGAAGGAGTATATTTTTTTTCTAAAACACCATGAGTATCTTCTGTAATTCTCTTTTTTTCACTCTTACTTGATTATTATTAGGAGGATATTATCAGGGTTAATTTGAAAAAAAAGAGATAAACATATAAAATAGATCTTATATATAATATTAATATCAACTTTACCATTAAGTTCTAGACACAATGGAGCATATAGATAAACAAAATATGATTTTTTTTGCCGACGAAAATAGAATATGAATATCAAAAAAAAAAAAAAAAATCATGATCGCTGCCGCTTATCCTTTCTGGGTGGAGTAGGGATCTCATATCCGAATTTAAACCCACGTGTACCCCAGACGATCGCGCTTTTTATTCCTTCCTTCCGTCTTTTTAATAAAATTCCAAAATTTCTTGCCAATAGACGATAGCAAGATTCAAAAATATCTTAAAAGCATCCCCGCAAAAACCAAACATAAAATAAAATAAAATAATGTTATAATCTCCCTGATTTAAAATATAAGATAAACTTTGTTGGAAAAAATTGATTTTTTTTAATAAGATAGCATTCCTTCTTAACTAGGCATTTAAGGAGTTTTTTTTATTTTATTTTACCTCTAACATATGTATTTTATTTTTTTCCGCTTATTGACTGTTAATTACAAAAAGTGGTTGAAGAGAGTACGTTCATTTGCTCCACTGTATTCTCCTTTTTCTTTAGTTTATTTATTACGTTTTTTACTTTTTTAAATCAATAAAGGCATATTTTTTTTAAAAAAAAAGCATGCCTTACTTATATATTATTTCAAACTGATTTTAATTGATAAATACAAATAGATAAAGTTTATCTAATACTTCATATCACATCACACATCATGTTTGCAAAATGTTAAGTTACAAGGTTCCTTCACAAGACCAACCTTAAGACTCATCGCAACAATATGCAGACGGGACCCGAAGACCTATTTGTGTCTACCTTAATACAAATGGGAGGACTACTGACCGGTCACTGATGCGTTGGCAATAAGATTAAGATGAATATGAAACTGTCAAAATGTCACGATAATTAATGAGAATATAGGAAGTCCATAGTAAACATGGAAGTTAATGAGTGAGATCCACAGTTTAACGCTTGAAAGTAAGTCAGAGGAAAGCTAGCGGAAAAAGAGCATCCAGAACATTTATTCTGTCAAAGAACAGATATGAAAATACAATACATCCACATATCAAATTAGAGAACCGAATTGACTAAAATCTCATCTTGCAACGAGAGGACCTCCTTGCACACCCCAACTGACTAGGACCTAACACAGGATAAGATACACAGGACCTGGAGCCCGCATGAATGGAGGCAAATATCAATTATCTTCAAACAACCACTCTAAACTCTTCCATCTTGGCCAGACAAATGAAATAAAGCATGCACGTCAAGATGCTCAATTTCTTACCATTAAAAAGAAACTATTGAAACTAATTATTGAACTCGTACAAAAACAGAGAGCATCAATAACATAGAGTGCTACATAAGTTTGAAGGTGAGACTACAAATGAAACGACAGCATACTTTATCCACGTTCTAAGCTAGAGGATTGTCCAGTCTAAAATTGCTTCCAACATCTTCCCCTGATAGCTCCGCCATTCAAATGCCCAAGGCCAGCCCAGTCACAGATGGAAAACGGTGCTGGTAGAGTTTAGTAGCAGAGGCAGGGGCCAGTGTCACGGAGGATTCTGAAGACAGCGGAAAAGCCAACAATTCAGTGAAATAGTTGATCAATTAACCCTCTCCTTACTTTACATTCTTACAAGTTGTGCGACCGTCAAGCGAAGAGAACACCAACACAATTGGTCGACGAAAACTGTAATTAATAGCGATTAACAATCACCGAATCCTACAAAACAAGTTTCAGCAACATGCCAATAACTT